TTTTCACGCAATGGAATGGTGGAGCAACTTAAAAAAAAAGACAAAAAAAAAACAACATACAAGATATTCAACAACAAAAAAATAAATATAAGCACACAAATACATAAAGCAAAAGCGCCCAGAGCACCAGAAAGAGAATACACAGCAGGAGTTGGAGGAGTTGAGGTAACCATGCCAGAGTCGGCGAGAGCAGCATCGCATAATGAAGAACGCGTCATTATCCTCAGGATACATAAGCAATACAAAAGGAGCAACGAAAAAGGATAGACTACCCACCTTTCGAGTTGGTGCTGCGAACGCCCAACTATTCTCAACTATAAGCCAAACAAACAGCTACAATAATGCCAACAATAAGAAGAGGTGGGAGTGATAGAGGGAGAGGGGGAGATGCTGCACAGGCAGGCAAGCAAGTGGAAAATATGTTTGCATTGTTTTTGCTTTCTATTATTTCACATTGCGTTTCAGTTGGCGTTTAATTACCAGGCAAAGGCAGTGCCACCAGCTGGCCCAGAGCCAACTATCAGTGAAAGTTCAGGTAAGCTGGAGCATTGAGAGCGCCTAAGACGATTAAATGATAACGATAACATGAGCAAAGCCCAAATAAGATTCGATCAGAAGGCCTTAAAATAAAATACTCCATTCTATTTGAGATTATATAAAACTTCTATTTAAATCTCAAAATGTTAAAAAAAAAAAACAAATATATACATTTTGAATTTTGTTAGTTTGTTATATAAATAAATTATGATTATTATTGTATTAAATAATATGTATTTCTTCAGAGTTTTGATACAGCTTAAGGCGGCGTCAAATAACAATGATATCAATTGATGATATATGTATGTTAATTGTGTTAGTTGTGTTAGTTATTCAAGTGAATATAGGAGGAAAAGTTGATAAAGCAGCAGATAAGGACAAATCAAAACTGTTTGATCCGCACCAGCATCAACAGCTGGGCTGTTGACATTTCCCAGGTCGTACCTCCAGTTAAGACTGTGAAATATCTCATATTAAAAACTCAATTACAAAATGTTTCCTAAATTGCAAATTGTGAGAATATTTGTGTATGCACTACATACACACACATAGGGTTTTCATTGTTTCGGAATTATGGAAATTGTGCGAGGCGTTTCATGCAATATTTGCCAATGCAGAGTATTTATTCTGCTTTAAATTTTAATTAAATTTCGATGGCTCATGGCACAATGCAACATGCGACGCGTTGGCCGCTTTTTTGTGTCTCACAGCTTAATAGGGTATGCTCGTGGGTCGGCATCATGCAAGCACACATATCACATATTTATGATTGCAGTTTTTAGTTTCGTGAAACTGAAGTTTATTGAGCAGAAAAAAATATTTTCAGGAGGTAGTTCTGAAGTGCGTTGAATCAGCGGCTGGAGGCTGGGCAGTGGGGGCGGTGGGGACGGCGGGGGCAACAGCCACAAGTGTTCATTTGTGTTAAGCTTGCAAAATTGTTTTACTTATTATTTGGCTCTGTGCGCTGCACGTGGCGTATGAGTGATGTTTATATGAAAATTATGCAAAATGTATATTAAAAAAAATATAAAAATAACAGCTTAAACCGCGAATGCTCGCTCGTTTTGCTACCTCTTTCTGCTGTGTGCTGCAAAAAATGTGAGCCAAGAGCTTCTTATGGATTAAGCATGCCAGCAATTTTGGCCGCACTGCAACAAAGCGAAACCCTAAAAAAATGAAAATAATAATAATAAAAGCAGGTGTATAAAAACTACAACAACAACAACAACCTTGAACACAGCAGTGAAAAAAATAATATTTAATAAATTTTAGTAGTCAACAAGGGCCGCGCAGACCTTGCACCATAGAAAATAATGCTGCCTTTATATACTGCTTAGGCAACGACATATAGGGTATATATGCATCGTTCAATTGTTAAATTACTCAGTTGAAACTGAAGGCAAAATATAGAATAATACAATATCCCATGTAATATATGCTATGTAAGCAAGGCTGTTTTATGGGAGATGAAAACATGGTACAGGATATCTGGCAGTCGAGCGCATCCAATGGCAATTCTATACTATTTTCTACTCTCCTGGCTGGATTCAATGAAGCTGTTTGCGGCTCTAGCTCAGCCAGCAACACTCGAAATTTTAATGTTAGCTGCTGTTGCCAATGCAGCTGTAAAAAATCTGTTGCAAGCATTGCGGCCCACGGCCAAATTCGGGGCGTGGCGAGGCGTTTACGCTGGGCATGTCAATAAAATTGAAGTGCGTCGACTGTGAAATGTTGACGGCAATGGTGATGGTGATGGTGATGCGAATGGTGATGCGAATGGTGAATGCTGACGGTGACGGTGACTTTGACGGTGACTGGTGACTGGTGACTGGTGACAGTGAGTGTGACGGCGACTGGTAACGGATGTTTGCACTTTACGCATGGCACATTTGGCTTTAATGCGGCATAATCACCAAACAATTTCATTCCTCACACTCGCAGCCGCAAACGTCATTGCCATTGTCTTTGGCCCGTTTTGCCAGTTGCTGCTGGCTTTTGCCTGTTGGCTTTTCTGCAAATGTCAACAGTTTTGCAGGCTGCACGCACAAACATGCCAAAACGCATTCGAAGAGCAATTCCCCCAACCACACACACGTGTGTGTGTGCATGTGCGTGTGCGTTGGTGTGTGTGTTTGTTTCGGGTCACTTAAGTTTTATGTGGCGAAACGCGTTACCAAATTGCGTTCAAATTGCGCACACAGATAACAGTTTTTCATTACGGCACATAAAAGTGTTTGCCAGCCTTTGTTATTGTTGTTGTTGCTGTTGTTGTTGTCCTGGCAAATTGCTATGCCAACACGTGCTTCACTTTGCAGCTCATGTCAGCAAGCGAGGCGAGCCGACATCAGAGCAACAGGCGCTACGTTGTCCAGCTTCTGGCACTAAAACTTGCCCCGCTCCCTCCCCCCTCTCAACGACAGCCCTGAAACTGTCCTGCCTGAACATTACTGTACATTTCCATTCCACCGACTGCGCTCGATTCTCATTCGTCAGCATTGTCATATAAGTAGCTGCCGCTGCCGCTGCCGCTGCCTCTGCCTCTGCCTCTGCTGCTGCTGTTGTGGCCCAGCACTTAACCAAGAAGTCGCCCCCTAGTATCCGCCTATAGCCAGATATATGTAGGCTTATTTAAGCACTGGCGCCAGTTGTCATTATAGCCAGTTCGTCAGCGTCAGACAAGTTAATTTTTCAACTGCCTAAGCGGTCGGAAGTGACTGCCCGACTTCCGCTCACCCGCCCTGCACTGATTTAAATATGTCGCATATGATATAAGAAAGGAGGCCACAATGACAATATTTTCGTATGCTCAGGCGAAGGGAGATTGATTGTCGCCCGAGTCGACTGAGCGCGCGTGTGTGTGTGTGTGTGTGTGTGTCCGTATGTGTTCTTTGCAATTCGCGTGCGCAAACTTCTGGCTGGTCGGCTGGATTTCGATGGGTGTAGCATGCTTTTAGGCGCTGACAATGAGCAACTTTTGTGCTTATCATGCGTGCAAGTTTCGCCGACGTTTTAATTGAAAAATACTTGGGAAACTCTTGTCCTTGTTGTCCCAGTTGTCGTAGTCATAGTTGCCGTCGCCATTGCCGTCGCAGTCAAAGTCTGCTTCAAGTTCAAGTGGGTGTCGAATGGCAAACACTTCAGCTGGAGCAGGAGCTCTTAGCCAGGAGCCGAGCTGTTGCCGTTGGCGTTGCCGCTTAAGTGCACTAAGGTGTGAAATGCACCCGCTTGGCACGGCAACATCTGTATGATGGCGTTGCCCATAGTAAATAAACCCAACTTGATTTTAATTGCTGGCTGTAGCAGCTTCACCGACTGCCACGAAGACCTCATAGACACGAGGCCACGACTCCACTAAAATTGTCCCACTAACCCAAAACAGAGAGCCGGCTAACTTTAAATGACTCTCTTTTGCTCTCTCTCTCTCTCTCTCTCTCTCTCTCTCTCTCTCTCTCTCTCTCTCTTACTCTTCGCCTATGCATCTCCTTCTCCTTCTCTCTCTCTCTGTCTCTGTTTCTGTCTCCACTTATCTTTATTTTTCTTGCTACGCTTCTTAGATTTGCTCTTGTGCAGCGGCTTTTGCTGCCTTTGTTATTTTTAATTTTACAAGGATTATGGCAAGCTTTTAATTTACAAGACTTAAACACTGCACTGCCGTAAGTGAGTGCATTGGATGTGTGTGCGTGTGTCTCTGCCTGTCTGTGTGACTGTTTAGTTAACGTGTGCTCAGGTTTGACTCCGCTCTGGCCGTGGCCACGCATCACGTCCAGCTCATGGCTGGTTGCACGTTTCACTCTTTCTTATTACGCGCTCGTAAAAAGAAACTGCCGTTTGGAGCGCTGGCTGCAAGAAATATTTCCATTAGTTAAGCATTGCATTATATACATATATGTATGTGTATACGTATATATTTGTCTGTGTGTCTGTATATAAATGCTCTGTTTGTCACTGTAATAAAGTTGGCAACATGGGCGTTCCTCGATGTTAATCTTTTGGCCAAGCGCTAACATTTTGACACGCACGTGTCGACAAAAAGTGCCGCATAAATTTTTAAGTGATTAAAAAAGTGCCCAACACACACACACACACACACACACGCACACATAATGTATGGGAGGCAGCATCAGACAGAGAGAGAGAGAGAGAGAAAGAGAGACAATAAGCGAAAGCATTTAAATGCGCGCAACGTGCAAAATATAAATTGTTGTCGAGCTGAGAGGGCCGAAACCAATTGAAAGTCAAATGCCAGCAACTAGCCGCTTATCAGCAGCTGAAACATTTGGCATTGGCACACAGCATCCACGTTCCACACTCCACAGTCGGCACTCGTTGGGCTCTATTTTCACTCTCCAATTGGCTTCGTGTCGTTTCGTTGCGTTCTACACGATGCTCGTTCGTCGGCTCGTGGATTTTGGCGCTTTCGTCGGTTCGTCGTTTCAGCGCTCGTTCGCCTGCAATCAGTTTGAAAATGTCTTTCGTGCGGTTCGGTTGACTAGTGTTAGGGTACACCCATTCGCGCTCCTAACGAGTTCGTTCCACTGGGAACAGTCAGTCAACAAAAGTAAACAACAACAATTGAATATGCGAACATTAAGTAACAATTCAGCATACGTCCACTGTCCATTGATTCAATAGTCAGCCACAACTTCAGAGACTCCGCGGAGAATCTCTAAGGTAATTGAAGGTCCTTCGCTGTTTGCCGGTTTCGATGGACTCGCCGTTCATGTTCCCTGGCCATTTGCATTGATGAACTCTGGCACGATGCGCGGCGTGCATGATAAGAACCCAAGCGTAATAATCATCGATATTCAAAACCCTTAAAGCAAAGCACCAACAACAGCTGGCAATAGATCCCATCGCCAGGACCAGACAGTTTGCCAACCTTTGATCTCTGCGTGTGCGTCTGCCTCCGTCTCTGCCCCAATCTCGGTGCGTTGGTGTCTCTGTGTGTTTATGTGTAAAAGTGTGAAAGAGCGCAAAATAAATATTAAAAGCAAAACGTGCATGGATTAGAAATCATAACCAGCCAGCAGCTTAAACGGCAGCAGGAGCAGCAGCAGCAGCGGCAGCAGCAGCTCAAATAATAACAATAAGAACAACAACCACAACAACAAGGAGCTCTGCCCGTCGCGTTAGCTTATTGAAACAGCTAGGAAAACAGGTTAGTGTTTGTGAGTTTGGTTCAATGCGCCTTGGCCGCGTTTTATATTTCTTTTCAGCTCAGCTCAGTTTGGTTCAGTTCAGTTGAGCTTTTCTCACTCTACCCCGTCCGTTTCGCCTGTCAGACTCCTTTTGTGCATTAGACGAGCTCGCGCTGATGCATAATTTATGCAAACTCTCCGCTTTCATCTCGCTGTTGTCCTTTCCCATTATTCGGTTGGTCTTCGAATTTTGTTTAAGTGCCGCATAGTATGGCGCACCTGAGCTAAACTAAACCGACATTTAATGCCCACACATGCAGCAGTTGACACCGCACTGGCCACACGCATATCTCCCCTTGGCCTAATCAACGTGATTTATGGCAATCGAAGGCGGCCACACTGCTGGCTGCTGGGTGTTGGGTGTTGGGTGTTGGGCGCTCTATGCGCTTGGTTACCTGCTATTTACATAGCCATGCCGGCTCACAAATTCCGTCCAACTGGAAACTAAATAATTATATGGCAGAGTCCCGGCGCCAATTCCTGCCCGTCGCATCACTTCCAAGTTCCCAATTGCCCTGTGTCGCTTAGACAAGCATCTGGGCAGGGGCAGGGGGAGGGGCACGGGACTGGGCTTAACGAACATTTATGCTTGTGCAGTTGTTTATGCTAAGCTCGAGTTATGTTAGGGAGTCAGAGAGGCGTGGCAGCTATAGCAACCAGCTGGGGCACATTTGCCAGCCGCACTCATACGCCATGTGGTGCTTGCGTGGAGGTCTGAGCAGGAATAGTACCGGCACCACGAGCAGCAGCAGCAGCAGCAGCAGCAGCAGCAGCAGCAGAAGCAGCCGCAGCCGCATCCTCATCAAGAATGAATTAAAAGTTATTTTAAATTCGTGACAGTCGCCTAATTTTGCATGTCGCCTGCCTCGGCTATGCCCAAGGGCTCTGTGTCACGACAGTCGCATGGCAGTCAGCAGCTGACACCTGCCAGACTCCTGCTAGTTACATTTGAAACTGTATTACTCACACACACACACCCACTCACACCCAGAGAGAGTGAGAGAGAGAGTGAGAGTGATAGACTCTGTCAAAAGTCAGTAGGAGTGAATTAAATTTCAAATATTTCTTAATTTACTTTTTTGGTTTTGCGTTGACAGTTCAAATTGCTATAACAAATTTTCTAACGCTACGCATGCCACTCATTCATTTCACTTTGCAATTCCACGCGCGCACACACTTTCTCACTGGGGGCGCACATGCATAAGTGAAATATTATGTACAACTGTCGAGTTTGTTTTCTGATGCTTTTTTTCGCGCTTTCTTTCGTGTGCTTTTTTCTCATTCTATTTTTTTTCGTTTTTCTTTTTTCTTGGTGAAAATAAATGAAGCCATTCGAGCGCAATCAGAATTTCGCATTAAAGCGTGCCACACACGCATTGGCATTGCGAATTGATGACAGCACAACGCACAGCCCATATAGGATAAACAGGGCCGGAGAGTGTGAATGTTGTTGTTGGTGTTGTCGTTGTGCCAGGCAGCGGCACTGGCACGCAGTATAACCGTCGAATAGCAGGCTGATTGCCACAATCGAAACAAAACCAAATCCCAGCGATTGATTTTGCAATTGTGTATACGGTTAGGCTCTGCATAGGCAGCAATAAATCATGAGAATCGCACCTGTCCAAAAGTCAATGCAATGAATATTCCAAAGAATTTTAATTTAAACCGATTTCATCTGCTGATCCCACTGTGCGAATTCAAATGAGCATTGTTTTATAATATAGTAGCTGCAGTTAAGTTATATATTGGCCAGCATGCTAATTTATGATTATCAAATATCAATATATCATGGGGAGTATATACAAAAATTTAAAGCTGTTATTAAAAATTGACAAAAAAGTTACAGTTCATAAAGACAGAAGATTTAAGGGATATTTGCATTATAAATGATATACATATGTAGATATTTTATGTTAGTTTCTTCACGTTCCTCAACGGCAATTACGTTGGCAGAAGTAGACATGGCCCACTATATTATTTAGATATATTATTGATCAGTTGATCTAGCCAACGCCGTCAGCTCATCCATCTTGACACCTACATTTCATATTGAATTATTCTATGAGTCACAAAGTTTCGTTAATCCAATATTAGAGTTAATTTATTCAATTTTTTATTTATATATTATTACTATTTTTTTTTTTTTTTTTTTAGCTAACGATATGTCAATATGACCTACTTTGGCTTATTTATAAATAACAACTTTGTTATTATATATTATAAATAAACTTTTTGCATTGAAACTGAACAAAAACCCAATCATGAATATAATTTTTTTTTTTTTTTTATCAGAGAGAAAAAAAAGGCAGGTTTAGTCAGTTATAACAAGAAATTTAACTTTTCTATACAATTAAAATGCTCAAATATGAATAAAAGCAGTTCAAATAAGAAGAGAGGACGATTTTTTGTATATTTTTTTTATTGTTGTCAACATTTTTTTATTCGAGCAATAATTTTTTCCGCATATTTACATAGTAAAAATATGAGAAAGGAAAACTTTTTGCTGGTTCTACTTTCATTTTTGTGGTTTGAGAATCGCGTAGAAAGACGCTTTTTGCCGCGTTACCACATAGCGTGAAGTACAGCTGGCGGTAATGCTGTAAATTAAGTTGCTTTTAGCTGCCATTGCATACTCTTCGGCCGAGATGCAAATCCTGTACTCTGACGCACTTGAGAACTTTGTTAAACGAGCCGAAACAAGTGGCTGCCATCAATTTGTATCTGTTTCTGTGTATCTGTAGCTGTAGCGAGTGTAGCTGCCCCGCCCACTCGTCAATTTGGCTGTAGAGTCTAAGAGCCGTTTACAATTTGCAGTTAAGTTGAAATGCAAACAAAATTACTTCGCGAAAAGTAAATAAATGGTAGTAGCACTTGAGCTGCTTTCCGGCACTCGTTCGGCAGCTGTTTGAAATTGAAATTAAATGTAGTGCAACTCAATAATAAGTTGCTGCAGCTTCGGCGAGTCGCCCTCCGTAAACGGATGTGTGACAACCATTTTTATTATTTTCATTCGTATTATTATTAGAGGGCGGGCTTATGGTTCTCTTCTATTTTATTTTCTATTATTTGTTGGTCTTTGGCAGAACACTTTGGCGCTGCCACAAAAAATGCTTCAACAAAATGAAATTAGTGTCAAAACGTTGCAACTTCAACTGGTTCCATCCCGCCCACTCCATGCCCACTCCGTGCCCACTCCGTGCCCAGCCTGTCAAATACACGGGCCATTCGCACGGTAAGGGCCATGCCAGTGGAGCCGCTCTTAAATTTTGGCGACAGACAGACGCCGTGAATGACGACGCTGACAGCGAGTGATGGCCAAGCATCTAGGCAGGACTGGGGCCCGCAAAGTGGGCGTAATCGTCCTGCTCGTTACCCAGACAGCCGCCGGCATTTCAGCAGCAAAATTGTCCTTCGTTGATGCAGTTCGTGTTTTTCGTTGTTGTTGCTGTTGTTGTCTCTCTGTTGCCATGGCATTTTTAGTTGATTAGGGCTCAAATGCGAAAAAACAACTCAAGGGATGATCTCGCTAGTCACCTGCAAGTAGGTTCGATTTAGTTGAAGGGGATAGTGATAAAGCAATCTTCTTATCATATATATCATTCGTTGCTGGCGTCGCCCATGGATGCTTGAGCCAGGCGCGACTCTCCTAAGCAGCCCTCTCAGCCCTTGCTAGAGCCACTCAAGTACAGGGTATTCAACGCGATGTCGCAGCTCTGAATGAATTTGATGAAGTGCTTGCAAAAACGGCAGCAACAGCAGCTAGATGAGCGGGTGGTGGGTGGTGGGTGGCGGGTGGCGGGTGGTGAGTGGCCGTTGGCCGTTGGCGGCTGGCGGCTGGCGGGTGACAACAAAAAGTAAAATTTATTCATTGGCTAAGGTGAGGGCCGTTGTTTTTGCCTTTCGCTCTTTGCAACTTGTTTACCGTTGGATTCTTTTTATTTTATGGGCGCCCTCTTTTTGCTTGTGCTTGCACTCGGCGTTTTCGCCTACAAATTGAATGGGTTTTGGACGCAAGTGCATTGCCCTGCCACAAAAGCAAGAAAAACAGCTACAATGGCCTGGATGAACTAGATTGTAAATGAAGTGCAGGCCGACTGGAGGCGAAATGTAGAACGTGGTCGGGCTTTGATTAACTTCAATCAACGCTGGGATATCTATTCAGAATTAAAATTTATTGCCAATTTGCGGCAAATTCGATTAAGCTTAAGTTCGCGAGCACAAAAGCAAAGCAGAGCAAAGCAAAGCAGAGCAGAGCAATGCGGAGCAGGGCAGAGAGAAGGAGAGAGAACTGAGGCGTAGCCAAGCAGGAAAAACACTCAGCCGGACATGAAAGTGAGCCTGGGAATTTAAATTCCAATAGATAAAGACAGAAGGACGGCCCGACCCGACAGACCAAACAGAGCTGAGGCTGAGGCTGAAGCGGAGGCAGAGGCAGAGGCTGAGACGGAGGCTGGGGCAGAGGCTAAGGCTGAGGCTGTTGCCTCAGACTGCAAGTTGAAAAGCTGTTGAAGTTTATTGGAAAAATATTCAAATCACGTGGGTGGTCTCAGCTCATCGGCTGGCAGTCAGCAGCCAGCAGCCAGTCAGCAGCCGAGTGATAAAAACGGCAAAGAAATTACTTATAGATTGAATGAAATTGTCTATACCCGGCCAGGTTCAAGCGACGCGTCGCTTCAGCAAGTGCCCGAATTGCTTTGCTATATTTTTGATCAATTCAAATGCTAAGGCTGAGACAACAAAGTCTCTAATGGCTGCGCCTAAGCTCTGGCTTTAGAGTGCAGGCCCTCGGAGCGCTCGAATGAATGTATTTTTAGCTAAGCTAAGTAATTAAAATCAGAGTCAGTCTGCCCCGTCGTGCGAATGGCCAAATGATGAGCTGCGCAGCAGCAGCGGCAGTCTCGGCCAGTCGCAGAAACTTATCTAATAAGTGTCAGTTGGGCCGTGACAACGGGCCCAAACA